TTATCCTGAGCGCATATTTCTTATACTGCTGAGCTGTGCAACTTTGATCCTTTTAAACTACTTTTAAGCTGTTGGCTTACACATACCATTTACTTTTTAGCAAATCAAGATCCCTTGACAAGGGAAAATGGAAATTAAATGTATCTTTCTTCTTAATACTTACTTTTTCTCAAAACAGAAAACCCCAAATGCTTTAGTAATCCACAATTATGCTGCAGATAATGTACTCATATGCTGTCCAGAATTTATTCCCTATACTGCCCCTTTTCCAAGTAAGCTAGAATCCTAAAATAATGGTAACCAAGGGGCAATGAGAGGTTTTTCCGTTTTCATAATCTTTAACACTTTTGCTTTTACAGCTAGTGATGGACAGAACATGGCATATAGAGGTATTCTTTTCAATTTTATATAATGGCATATCCATTTGTCTCTTGAAATTACAATCTTAATTTTTAAATATATGTATATATAAAAAAATATATATGGGAACATATGTATGTGTATACACACACCTAATATATAGTATCTTAACCTCTTGCCACTGTTCTGAAATTAGAAATCTTTGAAAACCAAATGGCTTTTTTATAGAGTTGCTGTCAAATCTGCTTTGGGGTAAATTCTGACTTGTACTGACATGGGGTTATTTATAGGCTTTATCTCAGTGTGAGCAGTCATACATTTGCTGCAGAAATATTTTGTGAGATTATGGGGTGCTGACCCAGGGCACACTGAGGGTGTTAGTTAGCAAATGGTGTGCAAACTCTATTTTGTAAGGAAAATTCAGGAACACATATGGTCCCAAAGATTTTGGACAAGTGATTGCATACTTGCACTTTGTCTTCCAATCAGCCTTGTAAAGTTGATCTCATTATCATCTCCATTTTTAAAATGAAGAAAGGTCAAGTAACTTGCTCAAGGTAATATGGCATATAAGTGGCAGAGGTGTAATTGTAATTCGTGCACTTTGGCTCCAGATTCCGTGTTCTGAACCGTTAACTATACAGTGCTTTTCCATATAGTCTTAATGCTTTTCAGTAAAATCATAAGCATATGATTGATCAACTGTAGCATAAGATCAAGGTTTTTTCAAAATATATTTATATGCTTCAGACTTAATACCTTTGAACTATGGTTTAAGCAGTTGGATATATCAGAGAACCAATAAGCTATATTCTGCCAGTAGTTACGCATTTTGCTAACACTCTGTGAGCTATCCAAAATGTCAGTATATGAGCAGCAATCTTATAACACATTTAGCAGACTTGTAGCAATGTGAAAGTTAGGTTTAGGCAAAATTTGAAACAAAAGAGAACATTATGAATCCCCACATACTCATTTATATATACTCTTAAGTGTTCAACAGTTCATGGCCCATCAACAGTTCATGGCCCATTTTGATTTATAGTTCACTTGTGCGTCCTCTCAACCCACACTGACTATTTTGAAGAAAATTTCAGATATACGGTTTGATTATCATATATAAGCATGGAATGTTTCTATGAAAAGCAACTTTACTTCATCAACTATTTTGCTTGTTGCATCTTAATTCCTATAGGAAAGACAGTAAATATGCATGATTGTTTTCCTCTGTTTACCAGTTTTTACATTGAGTTGTTTTTCCTTCTGTCATCAAGGGAGAACAATGAGATTTTGGCTTGTATATTTGTTGATTGGTTGGGCCTTTTTAAATATAATACTTAAATATATTTGTGCCTCAATTGATTACAGTTAACCTTTATTGATGCTTTAAATTATCCTATCTTTGGACAGAGGGAGCGTTTTCAAATTGGTTATTGAGTCCTTTTGATATGATCCTTTGATAGTCTTTGCTTCCCTGCCTCATCTAAGGTCTTTCAGGTGGTTCTTGTACATTTCCTGTTCCATAACTAAGATTATCCATTTATTTATGGGTACCCAAGATTGTCTACTTTTCTATGGAGCGTGTGTTCCTTATAATGGGAAATGGTTTGCAGAAAACACAGGCTGCTACAGGGTTCTTGCTACAGGATTGATTGGTTTCTAAGTATTTTCAATGGATGATGGAGGAGAGGTTTGTTTTTAAAGATAAAATATATTGCTAATTCACACTGTTACTCCTGATTCAAATTAAGAACTACAGGATTTTTACATAACTTCATTAGGCTTATGTTATATCACATGTCAAAAATCTCAGGTTCAGGGGTATCTTAATTACTCCTATTTTGCTTATCCCAACCAATATTGTCAACAATATTGGTTGGGATAAGCAACCTTTCTCATGCATTTTCCCATATATATATATTAATAATTTGACTACCAAAAACAGATTATGATTTTTTTTGTAATTCCTCTAGTCCTGAGGGTACATCCCCCCCAGGATGTACAAATTGTGTTTCAGAGTCACATGGGAGAGTTCCCTTGTGGAATTTGCCACAACTGGATAACATTTAAATTTATTTAGTTCCATTTTACGTTCAGTGTTCAAGAATTACTTTTAAAAACTTACTGTTTTATAATTAAAATATTTACATGATTCTAAAGTTACATATATATATATAATGTTATGTCCGGAGAGGTCACCTTCTTTGTCCCTACATATTCCTTTTTTCCCCCTATAGGTAATCATCTTAAATGTTATATTTGTAAAATTATATATATATACATGTATCTATCTTCCTTCATAAATAATAGCATATTACACATCCTTTTTCCTCTCAATAATATATCCTGCAGTGTGTAAAGATACTTCTGTATCCTTTTTTTACACCTGTATAGTGATACATTGTGTGGATATAGCATAGTTTATTCAGTCTCCTACTAACAGACATTTGAGTTTACTGTTATGTCAACCTGAGGAAAGTTTAAAATGACATTTCAACATTGAAAGCTTGTGGAGAAATTCTATGTTGTGAATGGCTCTTGCAGTGTGATAGAACTCAATTTCATGTTTTCAGAATCCTATCATGTTACATCTGAGTCTGAATGACCACATTTAATATTCAGCCATCTAAAGTTGCACATGTGCATGCCACACCAATTTAATGGGTTTGTGTGTCCTTGCAGTTAGACTAAACTCTTTAGAAGCCTTTCTCATGTATTTTCCCATATATATATATTAATATATTAACACATATGTATGTATATATAATACTCCTATATACATATTTGGCACAGTGCTCAGTGCAAAACAACATGTTTAAACGCTTACTTTAAATGACAATTCTTTTTGAGTCAACAGGAACACTACATTTCCTGTACAAGACAAAAAATAGAATAGTGACAAGCTGAGAAAGCACTTTTAAACATTACTGCCCTTAATGGTATGGGGTGGGCAAAGTATGAAATAATAGAGCAGTTGTTATCTTAAATATTTCACTCTTGCATAAAGAATACATGAGTTAATACTGTAAAAAGTGCTTTAGAATAATGCTTGGCATGTGTTAAATGTTATGTGTTTTGGGGGTATTATTTGAAAAACAATGCAGGTAACACTGGCATCTAAAATTTTTATTTGGAAAGTATGTAAGCCTTTAGAGAGAAACCTGTGTTTCCTTATGATTATATTAATACTGGTGATTTTATGTGTCTGAGCATACGGTTTGATACTATCAACCTTCATTTAATCAGTTCAAGTTAAATCAGTATAATTAAGCCCACTATGCTCTGGACAGCGTTCTAGAACGGAGGGTGCCGAGAGTAGAAGACAGTGTGGAAGATGGGCGTTCAATTAATTAAGCTTAAATAATTATAACGGTAAAACAATAAAATTGAACTCCACAGTATAGCATTTGAACTTGGTGAGTTTTCGGATAGGTACAGAGACAGGCAAGTATAGTACTGTATAACGTGTGGGGACTCCAAAGAATCTTCCCCACCGGAAGGTACTGCCAATTATATTCAGGCCCCAAATGTGAAGGGCGGCAACTTCTGCCCTAATTAAGAGTAAAGATCGCGTCAGTGCTGCGCGATCGAAATGCAGAGGACAGCAGGTTTTCCAGCCCGCCTGTGTCCAGCGCAGCATCGCTTTCTTCCCAGGAGGCAGCCGGCCCTCCCCGGCCCGCTCCGCCGTCCGGCTGAGCTTAGGTCGCGGCCCCGGTCCTCACCCTGACCTTCGCGGCCGCCCCTCGGCGGGGCGCGCGCCGCAGGCCAAGGTGCGGCGGCTGCTCCCTGGCGCCCCCTGGCCCGGCGCCGGCGCCCGAGGTTTCCGGTGAGCGGCAGCAGCCGGTTATGGCGACTCCCTCCTCCCGAGCAGCGGCGGTCTCCTGCTCCCCGTAGCCCCCCCGGCTCCAGGTGGGCTCGTCCGCGACCCGCGGAGCTTCCCGGCCCCCTCCCGCCGTGCGCGCCTCTCCCGCCCCCGGCGGCGCGCGCCCTCCTGCCGCCCGCGGGCCGGGGAGGCGGGCGTGGGGGCGCCGGCCCTGGCCTCCGGGTCCCGGCCTGCCCCGAGCCGCCGCGCACGGGTTGGACGCCCTCCCGCCGGCGGCCGCGCGCCTGTCTGCCCAGAGCCGGGCGGGGCCGTTCCCCGGGGCCGGCGCGCCGGGGCGGGGCGGCGGGCGGCCTCGGGGACCTCTGCGCCCCGCGTCGGGCCGGGGCGGCGCCGGGCGGGAGGACCGGCGCTGGGGAAGCGCGCTCGCCGCCCCGCCCCCCGGACCCCCGCTTCAAAGCGGCTGGCGGACCGCCGCCCCCGCGTCGCGGGCGGCCGAGCCCTGTCTGACCCCCTTGGACGGCCCCGAGGCTTCTGGCACAGGTGGGGCCGAGCCCTGCAGGAGGCGTCGCGAGCCCCAGAAGCGTTCAGCCTCTTGTTGGCAGCTGCCTCCTTTAAACTTTGCCAGCTCCGTCACAGGGCCGCCCCGTCTCACCCACTGTGGTCCCCGTCCGCCTCGGGCCTTCACCTCTCATCACCTTTCAGGCTTCTCCTTTCCTTTCCATCTCCGCCCTTTAGGTCTGAAGAAGTCCAGCCAAGGAGGGCAGACGTGGAGAGAGCCGGCGGCTTTGTGCTGAAGGAAAAAGTACCTCGGCGGCTAAAGCTTCCATCTCCAGGGGAAGTGCACCCACCCATCCCGGGGGGGCCTTGCAAGAGGACTCCACACCAGCAAAGCTTTCTGCCGGGCCGCGGGTTGTGCCTTCACGCACCAGCAGCCACCTCCTTCTGCCTTTGCAAGTGGGTACCTGCCTTCCGCAAAAAGCCAGGCTTCTGATCCGAGCGTTCAGATTTTTCCCAGGACTTTACTGTTAACTCCGAAAATGGATCAGTGCGTTTAGTTATGGCTGAAGCACAGTCAAGGATAATGGACTTGGATAACCAAAGGTCAGGACCTGGTCCTAATAACGACTTAATGGCTGGGAAGGATGAATCAAACGATAGGACGGCCTGCGTGTTGAACCTCGGTAGTAAGTAGTAAGACTCAGGTAGCAGGGGGACTCAGCAGTAGGATCACTCATTGAGTAAGTGAGCGCTGGGAAAATTGTTTGCCCCAGGAAGGTTTTATCGGCTTGGTGTGGCGGTGACCAGCTGTACCAGTTGGTACCTGTATGACGTGGGCCGCATCCTTCCTGCTCACCCTTGGGATCTGGTTTGTGTCCCTGTGCTGAGGCTGGTACCTGTACCCTTGCTTTTAGCCATATGATATTCATTAAGGAAAAGAAAGAGCACCATGAGCCAGGCCTTCTGCTTAGAGGTTCTGTCTTTATGTTTTTTCCTCATTGTAGCCTTTAATTCAAAATTTCACCTGGATGATAAAGTCTACCTTAGCATCCTCTTAAGATAATATGTTTCACTTTCGACAGGTTTTATGCATCTGAAGCATCACAACAGCTTTTGTGTGGTTCTGAGGATTAAAGAGGTAAATATTTTCATTGTAAGTAGAGTCACTGTTACTATTAATATGTATTTTTTAAATTTTGTACAGTTGGTATCAACTCATTGCTATATACAAGTCCTAATTAAAAATATTAGTTCAGATCACCTTTATGACAGGTAACCTTACAGTCTTAACAACTAGGTAAAAGAGAAACCACTGTGTTTACCACTCCAGATGGAGAAGGATTTCTTCTCGGTGTCTCCACTGTTTAGTTACGATCCCTTCACCTTGGAACTTTAGGCTTGATTGAACATAGCAGTCTAGCTTGAAAGGCCTCATCTGCATCACCCATGCTCAGTGAAGACTGATTTTAAAAGCTGGCTTTTCCAGTATGCCCCAGTGACCACAGATCTTGCCCGGGAACAACTAATTTGTAATATGGCTCTATCATTTGGTGGGAAGAGCACTCTCTTTTCTTCTTTTTCAAACAGAAAATATACCACTAAAGTTGAACCCAAAATACCATGATTATTTTCTCGAATACATGGAAGAAATTTGATCCAAGAAATTGAATCCTTATGGGTGAATTAGAAACGGAGTAAGGTCTGTGACCATTTCATCTTTTCACAATGCTAAGGCACCATGGGAGCATTTAAACCACACAGCGTCTGAGGCAAACTGGATTTTACTCATGGAGTTTCCTAGGCCTTAGTTATTATTATCACAGATTAGTTACTGTACCCATTAGAATGTAAGTTCCACAAAGGCAAGGCATTTAGTTCTTGACTGCACATTTATTGCTGCATCCTTGGTATGTAGAAGAGAACCTGGCACGTAGTGTGAACTTAATGTGTGCTTGTGATTATTAGTTTTTATTCAGCAGACACATACTTGCTCAGAGCATTGCACCATGTTTTCTTCTCCTTCCCTTCAGGTTTTCCCTGCTCCTCATCTTTCCGGTCTCTGCACAAATATTATTTAGCAGCCCCTCCCCACCACCATCACACATGGCTTTCAATAGTTCTTTACTAAGCACTTACATAGCATTAGATGTGCTAGGTACATTTGAACACTTAACCAATAATTTAACTCAACAGCCCTATAAGGAAAGCTTATTATTATTTCCATTTGACAGATGGGTAAGCTGAGGTACAGCAGGGTTAAGTAACTTGCTCAAGGTCACACAGCTAGGAAGCTGCAGCTGGATTCCAAGCCACTTCATCTAGCTTCAGAGTCCATGTTCCTACCCACCACACTATGCTGTCTACTATATTAACCTTACTTTATGTCAGGCACCAGCAATCTGGGTCATGTCAAGGCCTTCCTCCCATTTTTGTAAATAAAGTTGTATTAGAGTACACTCACTCCCAGACTTGAGCATAGCCAATGGCTGCTTTCCTGACAGAGGCATTGTTAAGGAGTTGCCCCAGAGACTATCAATCCTGAAAAGCCAAAAATATTCACTATCTGACCCTTTACTGGAAAAGTTTGCTGGCCCCTGGTTTATTTGATTTGCAGGCCTTGTCATCTGAAGTTGTTTGTTTATTGTATTTGTTTTTTATGTCTCTTGCACCAGGTTAAAATCTCCACGAGAGCAGGGCTCTCTCTTGGTTTGTACACCCCTGTATACCTAGCTCCTGACACATTGCCTGACACATAACAGGTGCATGAAAAATATTTGTTGAGTAAAGGAACGTTACACAGTCATGCAGCAAAGTTCGTTGTAATTATGCATAGCCTTTGACCCCTTCGACTTTTAAAGGCTATGTCTTAACAAAGATGTTTTCAACTTGATCTCCAGCTTTAAAGGTTGCTATGTTAATGCTGCTTGTCTTTGGAGTATTGCTTCCCGACATCCCCCTGAGCAGCCCGGATGAGGCTCCCCCAGAGGCTGGTGGAGTTGCAGGAGGACCTCTGTTTAACTACGCCAGCATCCGCCTGCCGGAAGAGCATGTGCCCTTCTTTTTCCACAATAATAGGCACATTGCCAGGGTCTGTGAGAAAGACTCACAGTGTCCTTATAAGGTAGGTGTTATTTCTTCTCCTCTATTTTGAAAAGGATGCTGTTGAGGCTGGTTTACTAGGTCTGCTTTATAACCTGAACCTGAAGGTAGAATTCCATCTTTTGGTTGTAGCTGTCAGTTAGGCATTGTTTGTTTTTCATCTAATGCTTCTGAATGACTGAGCTTTGCTTGAAATTGTAGCCCACCAACAAGAGTGAGATTTAAAATCTAAATCACTAGTAAAATAAATAGGCAGCCAGTACTATTTGTATACTCTATAAATGAAGTAAATTAGATTTTATGCAGAAAAGACTATCTAGCTAAAAGCAATTAGAAGAATTTCACACCTCTTCTTTCTTGAACTACACTTAGGAGGGTCTCTTAGCATTTAATTCTGGTAGTAAACACCTCCACCCACCCCCACCCCACCCCCCACCCTGTCTCCACAAAATTGGGACTGTTATTGTGGCCTGCCTTCTGTTTTACAGTTGTTGGAAAGGCCTCAGATTGAAGCCCATTAAGATGTCTTACAAGGCCTCAGAGATCAAAGCTGGGCATTGTGAGACATTTCCTTTCCCAGGGAGCTGGCCCAGGGCACAGAAGGAGAAGCAGACCTGGGAATCAGACCAGCATTGCCCTGGGGCCTTGCAGAAGTGTGTTCTAAGCCCCCTGGCCAACAACAGCTGCTGTGTCCCCCCGCTACCCCCATGGGCTGCAGAACTGTCTTTTCTTATGGGGTTTCTGGTGACCTTGATTAAGGAGTTAACATTGCTGATCGATTCCATTGTGTGATTCTTTCAGTGATAGAAGTCCCAATTTATATGACTCTTTAGGGACTGATTTTATAATTGGTTTGTTTGCTCAATGAGAGAGGCAGTTTCATTGAGTTCCTTCAAGAAATTCCAGTTCAAATGGTCTTTGGTAGTCTAGGTAAAGCCTAGACTTTCAGCTGGGGGACATACATGGTGGTGGTGGGGTGGTGGTGATTAAGGATAATCTTAATTATCTTGTTAAGAACTGTGAGAATGCTAGTCTTACTATTTACTCTAGTTATTTTTATTATATGAATACATATTGTAAGACATAAAAGTGAAAGTTCTGTAAAGATTTGTCTTCTTCATGAAAAAATCTAAGAGTCCTCTCTAAATCTCAGAAAAACAGAGACCAGTCTAAATGTACATGTTTTATGTTCTAGAAACACTTGGAAAATCTGAAGTACTGCTGGGGTTATGAGAAATCCTGCAAGCCGGAGTTCAGGTTTGGTTACCCTATTTGCACCTTCGTTGACGTGGGATGGTAAGTTTCTAGATGGGAGACTTTAAATCATCTTTCTCTATAATGTGTACCGGTGCCCCAATTCCCAGGTAGACTTTTGGGTTTAGATAGTAATTCCCTGTAGATATTAATTTGATGACACAATCATGAATTCAACTTTACTAACTCCCCCAACCACTGAATATCCATGTCCTCTGCCAGAGGCAGAAAACAGTATGGATCACAGAAAATATTTTCCCTCAGCAAACACTATGAAAATAAATGGATGGTGTCCTCTTGATTCTGGAAGGGGAAGTTAAGTATAATTAGTATTTTCAATACATGCAAGGTTAATGGAGTAGGGAAAATAGAGTAATTAACTGTTCATTGCCTTCAATTCCTGATGACCCTAATTTCATACGTTTCTGTTGTATGTATTTTTATTATAAGGGATTAAGTCTGTAAGTAACTTACATATTTTGGTAACTTCATGTAGCAAGGGATAGTTTTAGGAAAATTAAGACAGTTTATTTAAAAAAGTTAATGATACACTTCTAGCAATTTAACCTTTAGGAAGAAAATTCAAAGTTCAGAGAAAATGAAATGAAAAATATCATGAAATCCCTTTGTTTGCGAATAGGACAGACACCCTTGAATCAGCTCAAGACATATTCTGGAAACAAGCTGACTTTGGGTATGCTGGAGACCGGCTGGAAGAACTGCATGTGCTCTGCCAGCCTATGGACACAGTAGGTGTTTAGCCCCTTAATAACTGAGCATGTTTATTTTAAAATGCTTATAGAATTTAGATCATAATATAAAAACAAGATAGATGGCCCTATGAAAGGAATCCCTTACTCTCACATATTTACTTAGTCTTGTATTTAAGTTCCCCAAACAAGATCTTCTATTTAATTTGGAAGCCATGTCCTCATTTTCATACATGTATCAGACTGTCATATTTTGAGGCAGTTAAAATATTACTAGGTTTATGATTCTCCTCCCCAACATATGCTAAAGAAAATAAATTGATAAATTTCATCTTTGCAAATCCTGTCAAAAGTAGTTTGTGACAGATAATACACCCCCACCATGCTGCTTTATGTTTGCTGAGGACTTTATAGTTTGCAAAAAGCCTTGCTATATGTTAGCTAGTTTGACTCTCACAAGCATTATTGCAGATAGGAAAGGCAGGCATTACTGAAGCCATTTGACCAGAGAGGAAAATAGCATCCTCAGAGAAGCTAAGCAACTTCTCTTAAGACCACACAGCTACTATGTAGAATTGAACATCAAAAATTAAAATGCATACCTTTTTCTCTTTGCTTTCATCTGTACCACATTGTACTCTCTGGGTAAGACAGACACTTTGCCAAGAAGCAGTTTTGGGGTTGTCAGTAGAAGAGCAGGCTCCACACCTCAGAGTTGAAATCTTAATTCCTGGACAGGGGACCCAACCTTTGTGCATTTTGGTTTCTTCTGGTTTCAGACTATGCTTGTTTCATTGCTTGTAAGGATGAAATGAGATTCTACATATAAAAATGCTCACTGCAAGGCCTGGCTCCCAGCAAAGGGCTTAGTGTTAGTTTTTAAAGGTCTGTGGAGTTATAAGCACTTAAGATTCTGGTTTATTATCTCCCAGTGTTTTTGAGCCTTGGCTGAGTCTGTGACCTGTCAGGAATCACCATTATCCCAGGAAGTCTAGAAAATGACAAAAAAATTTTTCTTTTTACTCAGTTGCATTTTAAAAACTGAGTATATGTTCTCTAGCACTTCGGGAGGATGTCACATACTAGAATTTAAAGCAATTCGAGCAAAGAGGATAGAGCCGGGAGGGGGTGTGATACAGCATTCACTGGCCCTGCTGCATGGCGCACACGTGGGCCAGAGTAGCTGTTCACATGGCAAGTGTGAAGGAAGAACCACAGCCCCACCTGGCACACCTCTTCCAAGCAGTTTTGTAGAATGCTTTCCTGGCCAAGGTCTACCTTGATATGTTTTGTGCTCACAGTATGATCTGTTATCAGCTATGGATTCTAAGACACCATCTGAGTCAAGATTAAGGTCTTGTGTTCATGGGGAGTTATGGGAGAAACAACCAAAGGCCATTTGAGTCTATAAATAAAATGGAATGCAGGTAAAAGTTTTTGGAACTTTGCCTCTTTTCCACAAATCAGGTTGGGAGAAATAGAAATAGGCTCTGATAGCTGACTCTTAAACTCCTCTATTTCAGTGGTTAAAAATACACTGCCTCATGTTGCTGTTGAGACAGGCACTCTCACAATTTGTAGGGCTTGCTGAAAGTACCTCTTATTAAAACTGGCAAACTGCCCTTTCCACCTTGCATTTTAAAATCTCTCGACCTTCTTTCGTGTGGCTCATCTTTGAAAAATGATAGCTGTGGGATAGTGAGAGCTCTGAGTGCTTTTTTTTTTTTTTAAGAGGACTGAAATGAACCACATGTGCAGCCCTTGGCTTTAAAATTTGAGGTTGCTATAAAAAGAATATTTGGGAGGTCTTCATAGTAACCTAAAAATCAATATGACAACACTGTGCTTGGCCAGAGTCTGCTGGGGAGGGGAAAAAAATCCTTAAACAGAAGCAATCTTTGAGAAGCTTCCACATCACACTGTAGGGTGTGAACCTGAAGGTGTGCATTGCCAATGTGTCTAGCAAGCCTGGGTATGTTCTCAAAATATTAATAGTAGGTATTATTATTTTTCTTTTTATTTTACCTGTTTCAGAATGACTCAAGTCTGGTTTGTTCCCGTTATCTCCAGTATTGCCGAGCATCCAATCTTTATCTTGATTTAAGAAACATCAAGAGAAACCACGACAGGTACTTAAGTGGCTGATGTTAAAATTTAATGGAAATTCTGCACTATTTTCTGGGTCAGGGCTAGGCCTTGGATTTGATTGATAGTAATATGGCAATGAGGTTGAGAGTGGGTGGGGGATGGAAGACCCAGACTAGCCACAAGTTGGTCATTGGGAAGCTAGATGATGGGTCTTTTGGGCTTCTCTACCATTCAGCTACTTTTGTATATATTTGAAATACTATATTATAAAGAATTAAATGCCAATGAAAAACTGATCTGGGAAATTGGTAAACTACCTTGATTACATCCCATGTACTTGAGTCATGATACAATTTTTCAAACTCAGCTTAATTTTTTGTCATCCACCAGATTTAAGGAAGATTTTTTGCAGAGTGGTGAAATTGGAGGACATTGTAAACTTGACATTCGTACATTGATGTCTGAAGGTCAGCGCAAAAGTCCTCTGCAGTCTTGGTAAGGTTTAAAAAACAACCTGACCATGTTTTAAAAATATTTACCTTTATTCCTGGCATGTGCAGATTTTGGTAGGGTTTTTCAATGACTTAATTCATTTGTCAATAATTCGGCAGGAGTTCTGGGGAGCAATGGCTACAGAACTGGTCAGTTGTATCTGAATTATATGTGTTTACAATAAATTAGGAAGTATAATATTGTGCTTAGTGTTTGCTAATGAAAGAAAAAATCAGTTCAAAAATTACTTTTACTAACTCCTCATAATCACCATGTTTTGGGGGAACATATTTTTTAAAAGAAATACACACTTATTGAAGTACATAACAAGAATATAGAGAAGTATACAGTTTGGATCATGAAAAAATGAGCCTGCCTGTGTGACTCATGCCCAGGTCCGACACAGTCCATTATCCACACCCATAATGCTGACTTTCAACACCATTGAGGAGCTTTTTGAACTTTATTTAAATTGGGGAATGCACTTTGATCTAAAACATTTTTAATATTAAACCAGTTTTATGGTTATGAAGAAATTTTCCATCGCTAGAAATTAAGGGATTAGGGTACTTTAAAAAACTTTATCTAAAAATAATCTTGGACTCACAGAAATTTAAAAATAGCTTTAAAATTTGGAGTCCCATGCTACCCTTACCCCAGGGTCCTCTAGCGATGACATCTTACAAAACTGTAGTACAATGATCAAAACCAGGAAAGTGGTATTGGTACTATAAACACATTTGAATCTCACCAGGCTTACATGCACTCTTTTTTTTTTTAAATGTAGATTCTATGAAATTATATCACGTGTCTAGGTGCTTGTAACCATGACTACAGTCAGAATACAGATAAGTTCTGTCATCCCAAAGAAACTCTCATGCTACCCTTATAGGTTAAGCTGAAGTATCCAGTTCCAAAGTGTATGGTGGGTTTTTTAATACCACAAAGTAATTCTCTGACACCAGCTGGGTGTCCTGTCATTCAACTCAATTCTTTTTTGTTGTTGTTTTTTTAACTTTATTTTTTTTTATTAAAGTATAGTTGATATACAATATTTTATTAGTTTCAAGTATACAACACAGTAGTTCAACAGTTATAAACATTATTAAATTCTCACCCCAACTAGTGCAGTTACTATCTCTCAACATAAAAAAATTCTTTCAGCTTAATTCCATTGCTATCTATCCAGGGTTTCTGACTAATTGGCTACAGATTGAAGCTTCCAGCGATCTGCCCCTTAGATTTGGTTAATTCACTAGAGCAGCCCTCAAAACTTTTAGAAACATTTTACTTACTAGATTATCAGTTTTATAAAATGATATAACTGAGGAACAGCCAGATGGAAGAGATGCATAGGACTAGGTATGGAGAAAGGACACACCTTCCATGACGTCTCTAGGCACCCCACTCTCCCCAAATCACCATATGTTCCCCAACCCAGAAGCTCTCCAAACACCCTCCTTTTCAGTTTTATGGAGGCTTCATTACATAGGCATGATTGATTAGATCATTGGCCGTTGGCAACTGACTGAACCTCCAGCTCCTTTCCTCTTCCCAGAGGTTGGGGGGTGGGACTAAAAGTTCCAACCCTCTAATCACATGGTTGGTAAGCAGCCCCCATCCTTAGGGGTGGTCCAAAAGTTAACTTATTAATATAACTAAAGACACTTTTATGGCTCTCTTCACTTAGGAAATTCCAAGAGTTTTGGGAGCTCTGTGCCAGAAATGGGAACGAAAACCAAATATATATATATATCTTATACATCACTATGTCACAAGTCACATAGGATACTCTTAGGTAATGTTAATATTAAAGTCACACATTCATGCCAAGCAAATCCTCAGGATAATAATCTTGCCATATGCACTTGAAAAAACAATTCAGATGAGTAAATTTGAATACCTAATTCATGCTTTATTCAACAATTCATGAATTGGGCAGCAATTCTATCTAGCAATAGAAAGGAACTCCCAGGAGAGTTTAATTTATAAATTAAGTACGATAAGAGATTACTAACAATAGTAAAGTAGAACAATTATAGCAATATACTGTAATAAAAGTTATGTGAATCTGGTCTCTCTCAAAATATCTTATTGTGCAGTACTCACCCTTCTAGTAATGGTGCGAGATGGTAAAAATGCCTGTGTGATGAAATGAAGTGAGGTGAATGACACAGACATTGTGACTGAGTGTTGGGCTATTACTGACCTTCTGACAATTTGTCAGAAGGAGGGTCCTCCACTTCCAGACCACAATTGACTGTGAGTAACTGAAAAGCAAAAACACAAAAAAGGGCATCTACTGTATACCTATACAAATAAAACATAAATATGACTTAATATTATTTCTTATTTGAAGATGCTTCTTATAAAATTTAACTTATCAAATAAGCCTAATCAGTTTGATACCTCTTTTTTTTATAAGGAGAGAACAGTTTTTTTGAGATGTTTCAAGGGTCCTCTGAAAAATCCCAGACTTAGTTCAAGGTCAAAAAGACTATTTAGAATTTGATTTTTGGGAATTTTGTCAAAAATATCAAAAGTTTTGAAAACCCTTGGTCAGATGAGATTATAAATCACTGTAAAACTTTTCTTAGTTATCTATTTAACTATAGAGACAATTAAAGACTCCACAGGTAAATACAGAAAGTTAAGTAGTGGTAGAAAATGAAAATAAAAAACGTTGGCAGTTTTAATAGAGAAGATTCAACTTTCTTAAATAATCAAAGACCAGATAATAAAAATAATATGAAGTATGAGAAATTATTTTGATAAACAAAAGCTTTGCTTTCTAGAAAGATTACTTTAAGATATAAAGAAAAACATTTTACAATTTCTTATCGAGCAGACCAGTAAGCCAAGAAAACTGGCCTTTTAACAGAAAATCAGATTTTAATTTCGCTTTAGTTTTTCTATAAAAGGAAGCAAGAAGTGGATGTCTATGTTCAGTAACTAATATTTCAGTATTTTATCTTGTGATCTGTAAATGATCTGGATATCCAGTAAATATAACTTATCATTTAACTTAGCAAACTTTGCGGTTTCAGGTTACCAAAAAGATTTGGGGTAACTATTATAGAAATTCACCTAAAGCTTTTTATTCTACTTACATCTGTGCTCTTCACTGTTTTCTAACAATTACATTTAGACCACACACAGAAAACTTTATGAGATGTTAGACAAAGTCAGCCATCATCCCAAACTCTTTTTCTTACTGACAAATTTTTGTGAGATAACATGAACCTCCTCAACCAGTAAACCAAGCTAGAATAGAAGTTGTATGTCTGCATTATATTTAAAGCTGTTAACTCTGAGGACATACCTGATGTAATCAACCCAAACTTAAATTAGCTTTTATTTGCCAAGGATTATCCCAGCTCACGTGAACCTGAAAACAGTTGGGTTAGTTTCTATTATACTTTTGAGAATTTTTATGAATATTTAATTCTTTTAAGTGCTTGATTTTCTTCAAGCCAATTAAATAGAGCTCTTTTACAAATTAATTTTGGCAGTACAATCAGAGGCAGAAAGTACCACACATCTATAGAGACACATATAAACATGCAGATGCTGAGACCTTCTGGACAAGTGATTCCCCATTAGCCCAAATTCCAAATCACTTTCCTTCTTTTGTGCTTCTTCTGATGCAGATTACCTCCCTAAAGTTTGTACTTTAACATTTATATATCCAAAGCACAGAGAAGAATGCAAGTTGAAAGCCTTTTATGATAAATAGGGGAGGTCTGGGGATTGGTTAAAAGCAATCAGAGAACTTCATACTGCATTTCTAGTCTCGCAAAAATTTGTAAGATAAAGACAGTTGCTTTCAGTTCCTTAAAGATTTGGTCTGCAACTTAAATGACTTCATAGGTTGACCCACCCATAAATCCTTCAGGGTTTTAGAAGGTCTTTCTTTCTCTCTGGATACACAGCTTTATTTTAGCTTAGCAGAGATGGCCAAATATATATATTCATCAGGCTATGCAATTTGGCCAATTTCTGACCACAGATCTACCTTGTAGTTTCTAGCTAGGATAAATAGTAAATATTTCTGGGAGTATTCAACAGCTGGACTCAAGAGGCCTCCCCAAAGATATTTTATTCTCCTCTTTCTCTGCTGGGTACCATGGACAGATCCAGGCAGCCATTCTCACCCTTATCTCGCTTTTTCTGCTAGTTTTTCCAGGATCCCATCTGCGGTTCTGAATTTACCAGGATTTGGCAACTTTTTTCTTTTATTTTGATGTTTAAATTTTAGTTTTCCTTGGATGTTTAAGAAACTAACATGGCAGTTTACTGGAAAACCTCTTAGCGTCCCGCCAGCCCTGGGAGGTAGGTGGGGTGGGAAGGTTGGGGAGGGTGTCTGTAAGGCCGGCCATTAACTCGGTGCACTTTTGTATATGGTCATGGAATCTTTGTCGAGTGGAAAAGCAACTGAGGCAGAGGATTCCTAGAATGAGTACTGAAGTAAAGGGCGCTAGAGGGAAGCAGTAAGAGTCGCGTCAGTCTTAGAGCCTTTTGTTTTTAGGTTTATCTCTTCCACGTTTGATTTTCCATTAGCCTTTTACCACATTGAAATCTTTCAGTGAAGCTGTTTTGGAATTCTGAAGCCGTTTGGAGGCTCCTGCGTACTAGTTAAAGTAGGTACATTATTATGTTTGATTTGGAAGCCTTGCTTTTAAGCAGCCTCCTTAATTGATCTTCTCTAATTGAAACAGTCCTCATATTGGTCTTTGTGAGTCTAGGTGGTAACTCCTCTGAGTTCTGGCAGCAATTTGGTAGAGCCCTAGCCACAAATGGGGTATAACCTGCATTTCTGTCTGGACATGTTCTGGGCCCTCCAACCTGCTGGTTAGGAAACCAAGTTCTTAGGACACAAAAATGCTTAGTAACGTTTTGCCATTTTTGTAGATATTTGTAGCTTCTAGGACTGTTCTTAGGCAAGAAGAACAAGCAGGAGTGCCAGAAAGTGGTACTCTTAATTCTAGATTTTAAGGATCCCATATTTATTATTTATTTATTTATTAGTCAATTCATTTGTTTGCTTATTTGTTTATTTTTAGCTAAGAGTTGGGGTCTGGCAGAGCCAAACTAATGCCTAGAAGGGTTGTGCTGCTCGCTGAAGGTTGTGTGGTGTTTTTTCAGTATTGTGTTGCATGGAAATTTTCTTGAGGTAGGCAGCCTACTGTTGTCTAACCCACTCCTTGACCAACTTATCCTAAGACAGGAGTCTTGGGGCTATAGCTCCTAAATGCTTTGATCCATGCCCATTAATTTTTGTGTTTTTTTCTTCTTCTGAGATTGCCATTAGCAATTAGCCTTTACTAAGCAAATTTATTTCATCTAAGACCTTGCACTAAACCCACATCAGCTTAAATCAGACCGAGTCCAGTGTTTCACTGGGACCCAGTCCAGTTCTGCCTGGTAACCACCGAAGGTTCCTAGTGTGTATTCCAGGGGTTGGAAAAAGATTGGGTCTGCAGAGCCCAACTAATGAGGACTGTGGGCTGAGGCTCCACCTGGATGCAGAGCTGTGGACTGCCACCAACAGTTGTGTACATGTTGTGTGACATTATATAAATGCTAGTAAGTTTTGAGAAGTTCCACGGATTCTCCTAAGTGCACAGGCTAGACATAAAATCTCTCTCATGAACAGATCGTCAGTTACAGTGTTGCGGTAGGGAGTTTAGAAGGATCATTTTGAAAGCATCTTCCGATTCATAATTCCAGGTTTGCTGAGCTACAGAGCTATACTCAGCTCAACTTCAGACCAATAGAAGATGCTCAGTGTGACATTGTCATTGAAAAACCAACCTACTTCATGAAATTGGATGCAGGTGAGAAGTTAATTTGTTATTTATTTGTTGGTTAGTGAGGCTTTGTTCCTTTCTTGATGTATGTATGTAGTGATTTCCCCAGAGTTTTGGGGAAGTAGTATGACATTGAATTGTAGATTTGCTTTCTGCTTTCTTTGAAGAAGTGAACTAGTTTGAACTTTCCATTATGTAATACCTTTGGCATTTTAGAAGAAACCTGCATATTAGTATCAAATGTCTCAATCAATATTAAAAGCTGAGAGAAGAAGGGATATATATATACACATTTTATAGCTAAATTTACCCCCTCTAGTTTCTCTAATGACTTGATTTAGATTTGCGTCTTAAATTCCTTAAAAATAAAAGCCATGTGTATACTGTGAGTGGGAAAGGAATGCCCACAAGCTCTTGCGGCGGACTTTCTGATACCATTTCCATGACTGAAGTGAACTTAACATACCTCTGGAAGTTAGCAGTGTGGTGTGTTCTTGGAAAAAAAGTGAAAGTCGTCAACTGAGAGCAGAGGCAGAGCTAAAATAAAATAGCAGCATTTACTTGGGGTCTCAGAATCACAGCTTGAGGAACACAGATTTGGGCACCAACCCAAGGAGCATCCTTCCAGAGAACAACTGTGTCAAGGGCATTTAAAGACCAAAGACAATGTTTGTTTGTGTCGTTTACAAAGAATTTTTGATAGGCTTTGTGGCAGAAAACTAGTCTTAACTGAATGTTTGGCTGCTCAGGCTGTCACTAAGCAAAGCCTCTTAGTAGAGCAAGTTGCTGGTGTTCAGGCTGAGTCTTTGGTACCTAGTCCTTGGGATGATATTCGCCCAGTTCAAAAGTTCATGCTTCCACTGGCGAGGATGTTCCTAAGGCATCTCCTTAATGGCTTTCTGGCTCTATGTTAAAACCCCTTGATATCAGTGACCCTATTTCATTTCACTCTTCCTAAAATCAAATAATTTTCCCACTTAATGCCTATAGCTTCTAACTCTCAATTTGCAAGCACGGCTTTAACTTTATGAACTAGTTGCCCTGCAGAGGAGAAACATGAATCGTGCTGCCTTCTCTCTTTCATTATAAGGTTACCATGCCACGCGGTTTCAAAATTCATGAGAGGCTGGCTTATGCTGAAATAGAGCCCTCTGCCACGAATATTTCAGAATTACTGTAATTTATTGATCATATTTTAATGTGCTCTGCCTTCAGAAGTCATAATTCTTACATTACACAGTAATAGGTTCTGAAATGAGACAAGTTTAGGTTTTTGAAATAGGAGCAAGTAAAAGTGCTGTGTCCAAGGTCCTGACTCATTTTTAAAATATGCAAATTAAAAGGGGCCAAGAAAACACTGATCTGTCTGTAAAAGAGTTGGATTTTGTGAACTGTTAAATTTATGTGGATAATTACACAATAAAGTATGTAAAGTAGGAATGCAGGGCTTACATAGACATGTGCCGTTTCTTTCCTATATTCATAACTCTACTTTTTTCTTCTAACTTATGCTGTCATCCAGTTTTTCTTTGCATATTATTCTACAGAAAAGACTCATTAGGGGGCATATTTCTTGAGGAAGGAACTTGCATTTTCTCCCTCATTTATAAATTCTTGTAGCACCAAGCTCTATTTTGTGCATGCTGCAATCTTTGATAAGTGTCATGAACTTGCTGACTGGCACAGGAGAGAGCTAATGTGTGCTGTGTGCTAGCTAGCCTGGGGAAAGGAGGTGTGTTGTATAACAGAATTTTCTTTTTCATGTTAATTTGAAAGTTTGCTCTTTGCCAAGATTTTTCTGAGTGAAAAAAGGAATCCCTCCAACATTCATCTGAAATAACCAGTCTAAAATGAGCTGAGGCTTTTTATTTTTCCTTTCTGCTGTATTGAGATATAATTGACACACAGCACTGTAGACATTTAGGGTGTACAGCACAATGACTTGACTTACATAAACAGTAATTTTCATCTCCTATGTTCTGGCACACAACGTTATTATTCACTGTGGGAATAAAGTCAGAATATTTTATGATTTCTGCTTTTGAGAGTCACTGTTAATCTTTTAACCAGCATTTTCCCTCCTTTGAAGTGCATGTCTTAAATGTCAGTTCTTGGAATCTCATCTGGTTTAGATTTGCATGTTTCCAGGTTGAGTATTGGGTCCTGGATATCTAAGCCGAGCGAGCGTGTGTTTGGTTTCTTTTTAATGACAGCTCATGAACTTAGAAATAGTGGTGCAGGCCTCCCTTCTGCTCCATCCGGCCCAGCAGGATCCAGATAGTCTTCATTAAGGTTTCAGTATGTGCCGGGCACAGGGCTGGGTACTTAAAGGTATATTATCTTTGGATTTCTCTTAACAAAGCTGGCACTTAAGTATAGTGATTTCCTATTTCTAGTAGAGAAGCTAGAGCTTTAGCTTAGGGTCTTCACAAGCATCTCTGGGAACTTGTGAGTGGCTGAGCTGAGAGTCAGCCTGATTCTTCTGACTCCAAAGTTTGTGCTTTTTCAATTAGAACATGAGATGTTCAGCTCTATTAAGTGATGCGTGGTTAATGTTTTCCTAACAAGCAATGCTGTAAGTAGTGATCAAGTAGGAAAAAAAGAGACAGGAATGAAAATTACCCAAATTAACCATTGCTATTGTCATCATCATGTCCATGATAAGTAGGTGTTGCTTAATTGATTTAAAAAAATAAATAACTGGTAAGAAATAACAATTAGTCTTCATGGTCCTACAGTTCTATCCCATTTTGAGCTAAATAGGCTTGTTATTATAATTTTTTTTTTCTGGGAACTTGCTCACTTGTTACTTGGTTTGGTATATGTGGGAAATTGCATCCCCAATTTGTAAATAATGTTAAAGAATTTTTAAACCCTATCAATCTGTGAATTGAAGACTACCTGAGGTAGAGTTTTCATGTTTGGAAAACTCATTTTTCCCCCCATATATTTCAGCTAAAAGTCCATCACACTATAGAAAGATGGGGTAGAGCAGAATAAAAATTGTTTAATCATTTGTTCCTCAGGACTAATTAACATGTATTTCTCTTTTCTCTTGCTAGGTGTTAACCTGTATCACCACTTCTGTGACTTTATCAATCTTTATATTACTCAGCACGTTAATAATTCATTCAGTACAGATGTGTACATAGTGATGTGGGACACTGTAAGTAAGAATATGCTCTCTGCTTCTTTATTCTTTTTCTTGCTCAATACATGTGTGACTCTCATGTGACATGACATTTCTAAGATACAATAAATATTCACACACGTACACACATCCATACATATGCAGATGGGTGTGAATGCATGTGTGTGCATTTATAGGGACGTATGCATGTGGACAGATACATGTCTATGTGTATACCTTGGTTCTTTGAATTGTACAATGAATGAGTGGAAGATTTTTTCTCCCTCTGGGCAGGTGCTCAGTGTTCCTCTGAGACAGACGTGAAAACTGTCATTTGCTTTTCCTCCACGACCCATGTCGGGAGAACTTGCCTCTGTTTGGAGTTTGCCCACTTGTAATTACCGTCTGCCTTTGCTCAATTGCAGCTTCCCTCAGCTCTTGCTTCGTGCCACATTGTGCTGTGTGTGTGAGCTTACCACGCAGGGAGAATCTTAGATGTGCACATAAATGTGTATGTTGACTTATACCTGCTATTTGCTTACTTGTTTTTAGTGCAATCTATTTTTCCTTCTCTTTCTTTGCCCCCCCTTTTCCCTGCTGCTTCCTATATTTGGCTCCTCCACCTGCCAAGGCAACCCAAACGTTTCCCTTGTGCACTCCACTGCAAAACAGGGTGTTTGTAGCATCTACCTCAGGGCCATTTTGCAACTGAACCATACCGTGTGAACAGTCACAATGCCTGGTGTATATAGCACATGCACTCTGAATGCGAACTGTGACAATGACAGCAATAAGAGCACAAGTGGGTTATGGTGTACATGAGAGACTGCCTGCACTGGGAAGCCGGAGCACCCACTAAGAGGTCATCTAAGGTTCAGCTAAACATTCCAACTCACGAGATGCTTATAGGCATCCTTCCTGGCATGGATGCGCTCAGAACAATATTTCAAGAGACCATCGGCTTGCTGGCAGTGACAGTCCTTCCAGCAGCCTGCAGGGCACAGCTCTGGTGCAAGGACATGGGACCACGTGAGGCAGGCACAAGGGGTCCGGCATCTCCTGGAACAACTACACTGGCAAAGCCCCAGCATCCTCACAAAAGACACAGTCAGTTACAAGTCTCACCGTACTCCTTCCCAGTCCAGAAGCAGTTTACCTATCAAGGGTCTTTTTAAATCATTAGCAGTGTTACCTGGCAACATAGTTGACACATGCCGTCTTCATTCCCAGAGCGCAGAGCGAGACAGTTAACGTAAGGTCAGGTCCTCGTGCAGAAGGGGAAATGGTTTTGCTAACGCCTTTTCCACGGATATGAGGCTCATGGTAGAGTTTTCACTGCATTGCGAAAGGTTTTCATTACCGCTGCTCCCTAATTTGATCTGAAGCCTGATGACAGTTGGTTCTATGATTCCTGGCACGTTCATGCTCTCTTTGGGTTTCCTTCTCTGCGTCTGTTTACATCTCCCTCCGTGTTCCAGTTTTGCTGCCGCCACTGTTTTCATTTCCTGAAAATGTCTCTGTGAGCAGATGGGACAACAGTCGTCTTCTTTTTGTCTGAGTGCTTCTAGACCAGGATCACCAGCTATCAGAAGCCCTGAGTGATGGATTTAGGGTGGGGTTTTATTTTAATTACACCTGGTTATCTCATTTAATGCTCATACCCCTCGTGGACGAGAGTTTTTATTAGCCTATTTTAGAGGAGGCAGCTGAGGTTTTGCATGGCAGGTGGGTGTTCTAAGGTTACAGCAAGGGGTGGAGTCAAGGACAAGTCCTGTGTCCTGAATCCACATTGCCTTCTTGCCTCTCTGTGGTTCCCTTCAGAACTGTGAAGTTGAAGGAAAGGCTTCCATACACTTTCCAGAAGCTTCCTCATATCTGGTTGCATGCATTTCCATGTTGCTCTAGTAGACTACATTACATCGAGTCAACTTCTGCAAGCCTCCCTTCTCTGCTGGTGGGATGGCACGCACAGGCTGCACAGGTTAGCCGGGCCTGTGACGTGTGGGCAGTCTGAGCTCAGCTGCACGTTCAGGCAGGATGGGTTTCGCTGAGCAGCTTGGCTGCCCTGATGTTACTTCCCTTCTTTGCTACTCTCTGTGTGTCCTTACCAACCTGCTTTTTGGGTCAGCAAGGCCTCTGCTGCTTGCTCAGTCGGGTTCTCAGGACAGGCCGGTCTGCCGTTGCTCCAGAACGGGGGCCCACAGGATGCTCTAGTTTGGGGGTACTGTGAGGGTTTCTTGTGGCCACCCGTGTACCTCTTTTGCTAGAAAGGCCTTGAGTGAAGCATACATCCAGGCTGACGGTGATGCAAACCCCCCACAGTGAACTGCCCTGACGGCCTCGGCCAAGAGAGTGCCCAGGGGAAGAGCAGGGGCCGCACGCAGTCCAGATCTCAGTGGCCCTCTACGAAGGGGCCCCATGAAGAAGCCAGAGGGGCCGTCCTTCGTGCTCACAGAAAGCTCCGCAGTCTGGGCACCCTTCAGGCACGTGGCTCCCCAGTGGGATGGGCAAGGCCACCAGCCTCCAGACCTGTGCGGAGGGACGCTCCTGTGCTTTTACTAAGCAGAATGAAAGAAAGGGGACTTACTACAGGCCTTCCATGTTTTCCACATACTGAGAAGTAGTATAGCTTTATTATTATTATTTTCAGTTATGCAAATAATGCCTGGCTGTAGTGGCTTCAAACAACGTAGAAGTCTGTAACATTGAAAACAACGTCTCTTGTTTTTAGAGACTAAAGGGGAGGGGAGTTGGGTGGCGTAGGCAGAATGGGTGAAGGGGATCGAGAGGTACAAACTTCCAATTATAAAATAAATAAGTCATTTATTTCATTTAAAAAAAATTGTCTCCTTAGTCTGCTTCTCTAATTCCATTTTTCTCAAAGGTGACTACAGTTTACATGTGTGAGAGTCCCTTGTAAGACTTTAATATTTAATCAAATTTATATATGGGTTTGTATAAGGATATATATATATATATCCTTTATAAATAGGATATTTATAAATAGGATATATGGGTTTATATAAGGATATACATATATATATCCTTTATATATCCTTTATAAAATAAAATTTGAATAAGGGTATATTTATAGAAAATATGCTGTCTGATATTGCTAACTTATTATTCTATAGTGGACATTTGCCCCAAGCCAATATATTTAGAGTTACTGTTTTTTAAGTGGTTACATGCTATTCATTTAATGGATGTTCCATTAGTCCATCTGTGCCTCACTGCACATATTTACGTCCTGCCCCAAGACCCTAATCACACTAGGTTGTTTCCAATTCTCTGCTATTTACCGAAATGCTGCAGTGAATAGCCTTTCTATCTGCGTGTCTTAACATGCTCCTCCTAGCATTTCTGTAGGGCAGACCCCTGTAAGTAGGATTTCTGAGTCATAGCTAATGTGCATGTTTTTTTCTTCCTCCATCCCCTATGTGCCTATTTAAATTTAAAACATACACAGGAGGGAATTTTAAGTCATCTTTAAGAATATCCAAATATTCCTCAACATGAGACTAGAAAGAAGTCCCTCTGTCCCTGTGGCAGATAATTTGAAGTTGAAGGATGTGGAAAAGAAGCTTCTAGAGGTGGTTACTGCATAATACACGATTTCCCCTGAAGGGATCAGTCAGGATTACTCTATTTTATTATTACATTCTCCTTTTAAAGGTATTTTATTTTACCTGAGGTAGTTTATCTCAAGAAACTGTCTAGAATCTCTTCTTTTAATTGCCCTTTATTTATTATTGAGCCAAGACACAGACATTTCATTTTTGATAGTGTGCAGAAGGGCCTTTGTTCGAACGGAATTGGAGAAACATTGAAGGAAAGAATTTTTGTTTTTATCACCACATCTCACAGTTCTCAATCATTCTGAAAAATTTCAAAATCTGAGAAAAGAATGCTATAAAGATAAGAAATGAAGGTAACGAACATAATGTAAAACCAACTGTAGACTTGAATGTAATCCTAGAATACATATTTCTGATTTCTTTTGGCTGAATTTTTCAGTCTAAGTTATACCATTTTAAAATAAACCAATCTCCTTCCTTTTGCTGATGGAGCACATACTTTCTACTTTTCAAAAGCGAAATGCATTTGGTAAATGTCCTAGAAAGAACCCATTCCCGCTGAGAGGCGACTGCCGTTACAAGCATGGAGTCTGGAACCAAATGAGGTGGATTTAATCCCAGCTCTGCAAATGTGCCAACGCTACAATTTAGGCAAATTACTTAAATTTGTGTCTCAGTTTCCCTGTCTGTAAAATGGGAGTAATGACATTATCAAGTTCATAAGTTTGTAGGGTAGTTTAATGTGTTAATTTCAAGTGCTTAGAGCAGTATCTGAGATGCAGGAAGTATGCAAGATGCTACTCTTATTATTAAGTATTATTACTCTTATTATTTATGTTACTGGGGTGTTATCACATGCTGCTTATTAGTCAATGGGAGATCATCTCCTAGAACAATATTCATTATATTTTTAATGTTTAAACTGTCAAGGCATTTTCTTGCTCTGAAATTTCTTTCCAAAAGCATATTCCTTTGGCCCTGATGTTTTTTGCTCACGGTGCATATCAGAGTGTGTACAAATGGCGGTGTATGCATGAGTGGTATATCTGTAATTTGGACAGAAAATTCACTGGAAAAAACCCTACAGCAATCATGATATCATAAAATAATCAGGTGGAAAAACAAAATGCTTTTAACAAGCTAAGATTATAAGTGTGATGATTAGTTCTGATGATATTGCATCAAGTTAGCTGTTTGCTTGGGCCCAAGATGAAAATCCATTTTTTCTCACATGGATTTTATCAGCTTACTTAGGATCATTAGTTATTCACAGTAACAGGTTAATTCAGGTATTTTATTGCATTTTTAGAAAGCCATGTGTATTCTTTTATTGCCCTAACTAATTTTGTTTCCATTTTTCAGAGCTCCTATGGATATGGCGACCTGTTCTCTGACACGTGGAGAGCATTTACTGACTATGATGTTATACATTTGAAAACTTACGATTCCAAAAGGGTACTGGGAACTTTACTGAAATGTCTGTAAATACCTGTCACTGTAGATAACTCACTCATCAAATAAATATTTAATATGTATTTTTAGTAGCTATTACCATTGATCTGACTTTCTGGTTTCTCTTTTTATAACCAGAATCCTTACTGTAATTGAATGTGTAACATTAAAAAAAAAAAATGTTTTCCCTTAGCTTTTCCAAAAAACATGAATTCCACTTGAGTGAAATAGTTTGCTCTTCAAAATATTTTAACGCAAAATAGAGATGAACTCAAATTTATTTTCTGTAATTACAAGTTCTCTTTGGGTGTGATGAGTGCCAAGTATATTCTCTCACCTTATAAAATATCTTCATTCATAGGTATGTTTTAAAGAGGCCATTTTCTCATTACTTCCTCGGATGAGATACGGGCTGTTTTATAATACCCCCCTGGTAAGAATGGTACTGTTGTTAACATTCATATTTATAGGTTTTATCTTGGTTGATTTTAAGATAACATTTATATATAACTTGAGAACATCTTAAATAGTAACACAGAAAGTATGCATTATAATATGAACTCTTGTTTTTATTTCAGATATCTGGCTGCCAAAATACTGGATTGTTCAGGGCATTTTCCCAGCATGTCCTGCACAGACTGAACATCACACAGGAGGGACCCCAGGTGAGGAATGCATTATGGGTTCTGAGGTGGGCTTGACTTCTCACCCTGAATAAAAATCAATGGCACCATTAACAGAAAAAGAAATAGTCAGACGGCAGTGCTTTCCATGTTAATGATTTCTGAGCTAGAGTGATCTGAACTCAGATGTCAGCAACCTATGAAAGATAAAAAATGGAGAATGGGAGAAGTACTTCTTTTTCTCCTTTCCCTTTCCCCTTTCTTTTGCCATAAATCTCCTTTCTCCTTCAGATCCCCACTGCATCCAAGATACCCCTGCCACAAAATCCACCCACCTAACCAAGCAGAAGTGTAACAAATAGATTTTGTGTTCCATGGCTAATATGGATGCATTTTTATTCCCTGAAAGGACTGTGAAGGAATCAGGCTCAAAAAAAAAAAACAAAAACACAGTAGTTCCCTAAGTGTATCCTTACGGAGCTTCATCTCTGTGCAAATCACATTTTAAGTTCAGGTGTTCATTCACCTGTCCAGGCATACACAGCATTCTCCTTTGGATTACAGGATGGAAAAATTCGAGTCACCATTCTTGCACGGAGCACAGAATACCGGAAAATACTAAACCAAAATGAGGTTCGTTTGGGTATGCATTTTTAATATCATCATATTAATGATTAATGTGCTTTATTTTCTCTCATTGCATTAAATAGTTTGATTTGAAATGATTAGCTTTTAGAATAGTTTGATGGCTACACCCCATCCCATTGTTGGATTTCTGCTGGAAGTCACCAAAATTGCCCACACCAGCTTTGCCTCACTTGTACATATTCATCTTCACCCACTCAGACTGGATACAGAGGCAGAAACGATCTCTGAGTCCTGCCTTTACTGCCATCGATTGCCAAACATTCTGCCTCCGGACAAACAGGCAGCAAAAAATGTGAGAGTGTCTTTTGGGAGACGGTCGATGGAGTGTGGCCATCGTGTGGCATCCGGAGGCAGATTAGGCTGGAAGCGTTCCCTTCCTTTGCATGACTGTGTGTCTCAGAAATTGTTCGCCTCTTAGGTTTCCCTAGTTCACTTAGACAACATCACCTCCTAAGTTATATCTGACCTCAGTGAGATGACCATGCATGGCTCCTGCCTACAAGGGCGTGGCTGGAAGATGTCCTCACAGTAGTAAGATCTATTCCACACACATGTATTGAGCACTTGCTATATGCTGAGCCATGTTTGAGGCTCTGGAGCTACAGCAGAGAACAAGACAGGTAAGGTCCCTGTCCTCATGGAGCTTACACTCTCGAGTGGAGACAGAGCAAGGCAAGAAAGAAGCAAACAAGCCCGTCAGCACGGTGGTTTCAGGTAGTGAGTGTACAGAGGCAGGAAGACGGCGTGAGGTGGTGGAGGCGGGATGCAGAAGGAAGGGGAAGGTGGTCAGGCACCGCGTGCGAAGAGGATCGGAGGAGGAACCAGCCGAGGAGAGAGTGCCAGGCAGGAGCAAACGTCCTCTGGTGTCCAGAGCTCTCCGTGCTTCAGAAGCAGAACCGTGTGGTCTAGCGCAGCCAGACAGGTGGATGATACCAGAAGAGATCAGAGAGGTCGGGCATGGTCCGGAGAGGCCAGCCTCGTGAGCACTGATGAGAGCGTGGACAGATTTTATTGCCCTGTGAGGGGAAACCACTGTGAAGTTTTAAGCAGGGCGTGGTAGCAGAATAAAGCTCCCCCTCCAAAAAAAATGATGTCCTCGTCCTGCTTGCTGGAACCTCTGACGAGGTTAGGTTACAAGACAAAGGGAAATGAAGGTTGCAGGTGGAATTAAGGTTGCTAATCAACTGGCCTGAAAATAGACATTCTTGGGTTATCCAGGTGGCCCAATGAAATCACAAATGGACTGGACACTCTCTGTGCCAGAGAAGCTTTGCCTCTACCCAGAAAGCTAATTCCTTAGCTGGATTCTTCCCACAACCAGATGTCAGTTCAGCACTTCATCAAAAGTGGACGAGGGAGGCAGAAAAGAGAAGGAGGCACGATATCAGAATCAGGGCCAGAGAGATGCAGGGTTGCCGTTTGGGAGGTGCAGGAAGGAGCCTCAAGCCAAGGCTTGCAGGTGGCTTCTAGAAGCTGGAAAAGGTGAGGAGATAGATTGTCCCCTGGCCACTCGAGAAGGAGGACAGCCCTGCCGACCTTGATTCTAGGCCAGTGAGACCTCCGCCTCACTCGCTGTGGGAGCTAACTCTACAGAACAGCGAGAGGGCCAGTTGTTTTGTTTAATGCTGCTGAGTTTGTGGTAATTTGTCAAGGCAGCAAAGAGAAAATGAGTACACAGGGAGAGACAAGATCTGACTTGCTTATTTTTGAATCATTCTGGCTGCAAGAGCAGGCGCAGGGAGATTGAGAGCTGTTCCTATGGCTCTGGTAAGAGTTTGGACGAAGGTGCGGATGGGAGAGAGGACCCAGTATAGGGATGCAAGCACTGTCTTGGAGAGAACCTGTGCAGTTTCACTTTAGGTAAGGCCAGGAACGGTATTCAGGATCAAGTGCATACCTTTAGACTGGTAGCTCAAGCAGTTCAGTGGAATCGAGATGGGAATAACTTAGTAGAAGGGAGGTGGGGGGCAGGTTTTGATGGGTGAAATGTTTTACAAATATTAATTTTGGTGCCTAGCAAGCTGATAAAAATTACAGAATTAGTGTCTCTTCTCCAGATCCATATGGATTATGGAGGACATGGACATATGGTATAATGAGGCATTGATTATAAGCTGTGTGGATGGAAGAAATGAGCTGTGTGTGTGTGTGTTTGAAGACCAGGAAATAAAAATGTATCAAGTATCAAGTAATGCAAAGTTGAGGTAGATGGACATCACCCCTTATGAGCAGGCAGATCAATAGCATACATCGGTCGAAGACACATATGTTGAGTGCTAGTTTTGTGCCAAGCATATGACTGTATGCTCCCCATACATGTTCCCCAATGCTCCCAGCAAACCCATGAGGTAGATTTTTTTTTTATTATTCTCTTCTAGACAAGGAGCCTGGGACTTAGAGGTTAAGAAACGTGCCTAAGGTCAGGGTGAGCAGAGTAATGGGACGTGAGCCAGGACAGTCAGAGCCTGAGCCTGCTTTTTACCAGAGAGCTCTGGGGCTCTAACAGAAGTAGATCTTAGAGGAGGCGGATCCACCTTTGTTTCCAGTCTGTCGGGAAGGGGTGGGGTGAGGAACAGCATCAGGCCGCTGGAACGAGGTCCTGCAGAGATGGCCCTTGCCCGTGGCGTCATGCTGGGCCGCTGGTGTTCTCCCATCGCCCACACAGGCGGCCCACATGCTGGGCCTGAAGGTGAGGCTTGGCAGTCCAGCCCCAGCGGGGGCATCGCTGGAAAGGCGGATACCAGGCGGAGACGAAGCGCCTGGGTTCGGCCTGGAGGCCTTAGTAGATGCCGAAACCCAGATGGCCGCACTGCGCTGCAGTTCCCGCAGTCCCGCCCGACCTCAGGGTCGGCACAGTCATGTCGGGAGGGATGTGGCCACCTCTCTGGTGTGACCAGAAATCGTGGAAAAGGGCACCCTCGTCAGGGGAACACTCAGAGAGCCACGATTACTTTTATGTGGACTCATCTCATCCTAAGACCAAGGCTCCTGGAATGTGATTAATTCACTCCTGGCAAACAGAGTTTTAATCTATCCTCATTACTTCACCTTGATACAAATGGTGTATTTGTGGGAGATCACAGCCTGTGTAGAGAGAGAAACTACCATTTCATGACTCTGTGTGTATGTATGTATGTGTGTGTGTGTGTGTGTGTGTAATAGGGGAATTGGATTATGGTCAGTGTCTGTTGCTATTTATACGTGGGAGTAGAGTGGGCTGACAATACAGATTTCGGGGTCAGATGACCTAGATTTAATTTTGGCTCCGCCAGGCTTGGGAAAATGACTCCTTGTCCCTGTCCCTAAGCCAACACTGTATGATTTAAAATTGGGCGTAATGGTACTTGATGTGGTATTTATGAGGATTAAGCACTTAGAAATGGCAACCGGGTTGAAACCACAATCAGTGGTGCCTCTGTAACTACTGGCATCACTCTTGCCCCAAAGTCTACGCCTCAAGGCAGTGAGATACGGTGCACAAGTTTCTGAACAGTGGCGACCCACAGTGTTGGGTTAAGGAGCCAATTCGGGAGGGGCTAGAGAACCATGGCTGTGTTTTAGACACAGAGTAACATTCTGTTTTATTACCCTCTGTTTACTAAAAGAAGTACTGTTTTCCTGGGTATATATATTGAAAATGTTTTCCTGCCAAGAATCTAGTATTTTCGGAAGAAGGGCTCAGAGCACTGGTGGTTAGTCTGAAATGACACAGCGGGTGGGGGAATGCTCTTACCTTGATGTGTGGAACCCAGTAGGTGCCCGACAAACACGTGTGACAAGTCGAGGGCATGACCAGCACATGGGCAGTGACAGCTAAGACCTAGCGTCCCCTGTGCTGAGGGCTTTGCTCCCATGAATTTGTCCTTTCAGGCTCTTGCCTGTCCAGCACAGCAGCAGGCTGCTAGGGGGTAAGGCGCCCCAGGTGTGGAGTCTGCCTTTGAACTCAGCTAAGGGTTAAAGTAGCAGACCTGAAGGATAATTGATATCTGAAAACTGTCTTGTATGAAAAATAAGGACTCACAGGCAAGTACAGCAGAAAAGAAGGAACAAAAAGAAATTCTAAATGTTTCTGGTTTTCTCCCCAGCTTGTAAACGCACTGAAGACAGTGTCTACGTTTGACGTCCAGATCGTCGATTATAAGTACAAGTAAGAGATAATCCCACGCATGCTCAGGCACATGCTCTCACTTTTGCTTGGAGGAGTGAATTAGGGGATAGAAAAGATTTTTCAAATCTGAGTTGTTGGCTTACAGACCCAGAAGGGGCAAGCAGGTGCCATCTGTGAATAAAGTGGTCAAGTGAGGACCCTGGGTGCAAGGAGGAGGCAGCTCCTATTCAGGTGTGTGGGGCCTGGTGTTGCAACACCATCTCATTTAACAAGAGAAGTGGTGAGTCCAGATTTCCATTTGAAATTTCTGACTTTTTAAAAGTTGGCAACCAATTCTGAATTTTAAAAAAATGTTATTGGCCTAATTTACCCTGTTAGCTGCCAGGTTTTGACTGCTGACCTTAAATTAGTTATAGGGAAATAATCTGAGGGCCATAGAAATAACATGAGGTTTCTAAACATCTTATAAAGTATTTACATTTCTTTTAAAATTCTGGTAAAGTGAAAGGCTTAGAAAAACACAATATGCCTAACATTTACTGCCTAGGCGACACCTGTTGGCGTTAAAACAATATCATGAAAGTGTAAGTATTCCTGGTTGAAAAAGTCAGGCAGTATACAAAAGTTCAAAAGGAGGGTGAAGGCTCTTCTCTCCTGCCCTTGCCCACCTACAGTCATAGTCATTTCCACATTTAACACTGTGAATAGTTTCTTTCTATGTTAAAAAAGAAAAATATACATACACCAGCATCTGGGCGTCTGAGATAGCTAAGTTTAAACGTACCAGTAAGCATAGGAGTTTCCCACCTCATTGACCATACATTTGTTTGTTTGTACAACAGATCTTTATTGGGCACATATCCTGAGCTGCTCACAGGCTTAGCAATTCAGTTATGAAGACACCATGGCTCTTGTCTTGAGGATTTCAGACCCTGATACAAATAGAGTTGACTCTTGAACAACACGGGTTCGAACTGCGCAGGTCCACTTACATGCGTGTTTTTTTTTTTTCAGTATATATATTCGAAAACTTCTTTATAGATTTGCAACAATTCGAAAAAGTTTTCTCTGAACTAGTTTATTGTAAAACAAATATATATATAATATTCATAGCATGCAAAATACGTGGTAATTGAGTGTTTATATGTGATCGGTAAGGCTTCTTGTCAACAGTAGTCTACTAGTAGTAGTTAAGGGAGCCGTAGTTTTGGGGAGTTAAAAGTTATATTTGGATTTTTGACTGTGTAGGGGATTGGCGCCCCATGTTTGTTCAAGAGTCAAGTATAAGTAGCAATTGTAACAACTACCACCTGTTGAGACTTACTCTTAGGCTTTATGCATTTTATCTCCATGTCAGTCTTGTGACTTGTCAAAACTCTTCCTGTTTTACAAGTGACTCTCCACGTTTTGAACTCTTTTATACGCCTAGATTTTTTTCGACCAGGAATACGCGCTACCTCTTGTAGCATTGTTGTTCTTAGGTCAATGGGGTTACCTAGACAGGAAATGTTAGACATATTCTGTTTTTCTAACATACTCAGTTTTCTTTTCACAACAGCTGTAAAAGCCATGGAGACTAGCCTTCCTGTCACATGAAGAAATGTCACCCAAGAAGAGGTACTGGTGTCAGGCTGAAAGAACTAGAGAGCCACCTCCCAAGCTCTTTAGCTGACTGCCCTTTAAGGGTATATTGGGTTTTCCAGATAAGGAGGAATTACAGTAAATTCAGACTTGGCCAACCCGAAGGAAGCATCAGGAACAGAGTAGCATGGAGATGCGAGTCCTGACCTATAGGTGTTTCCCACCCCTGGCGACTCCAGGAGCACATCCACCTGGGCCAGTACCTGTCCTTCCCTCTGCATGAGTCGGCATTTCTGGAGAAACTGAGGCATGCGTACCCCATGTGAGACACACTCGTGGAGCTGGTGTCTTCCTCTCACTACGGAGGGTGCAGGGTTTTTGTTCTACTGCAAGTGGAAGCTCCTTAAAGAGGGGAAGCTGTTAAGAGGGAATTTGCTTTCCCTTAGGTCCAAACTAATCTTGGTTGTTCATTTATTTATTTTTACTTTGGGTAAGAGGGCTTAGGAGATCTGATTCCGTCACATTTCTTCAGAGCTTCATCCTTACCCTGGCATTTCTTGCCAACCTCACTTTAGTGAACGTTTTTGGCTCTGATTGTTGGTTCGGAGTTTGCACATCTTTCAGGGTCTTGAATTCAGAGGGCCCTTTTACAAGCCTAACATGCCTACAATTGCGAATTAGTCTCTTGCAAAGGCAGGGCTGTGCCCTGGTGGAATCTAAGATAATTTTAGTTGTGCCTAGTTGGAACTGAATAGCTCAGATGATGCAAGGAGGAATTTATTTGCTGTTTAAAAAATCCTTTTGTTATCTTAAGGAAATAGTTTTCAGTTTGGTGCCAGTAGATCCTAACATCTCTCCAGGGCTTGCTCATTTCACTTTTTCATAGCACTTTTAAGTTTGGTTGTATTCATTTTTATCTTTGTCATGTGTTACTGGGTTTCCAATTAAGACAGCAATGAAAGTTCACTTCTAAAGAAAGTGCACTTAAAAGGCATGCTTATTTAGAAAAAATATTAAGTTATTAAGGAATTAAGTTACTAATTATTGGGGTAGGCTTGAAATTGACAAAAAAAATAATAATAATCCTGGTGGAATGTGATTTAAATCAGGAAAGACACTGGTATAAATATTGTTACCATGTGTCATGAACTAACTCAGCTTAATCCTTTCTCTCTTTTGCCCATGTGTCTTTTATTGTTCTGTATGTTCACAGGGAACTTGGGTTTTTAGAGCAGCTAAGGATCACCCATAACACGGACATATTTATTGGAATGCATGGAGCCGGTCTCACCCATTTACTTTTCCTTCCAGACTGGGCTGCAGTGTTTGAACTGTAAGTGTTTGGAGGCCCCTTTACACTGAGGCAGTGAATAACGTTTCTTATACATGCTGAGTGTTTCATTCAGAGCTTTAAAAGGCTTAATATTTAATAATTACAGGAGAGTCCCATCATGTATAGGCATCTAGAAAGAAGAAAAACATAAAGCTAAAAATGTGAAGTCTGCAGCCTGCTGTTAAACTCAGCAGGCAAAACACCCTTTTCTCCCCCAATCTCAGCAAGACAGGGTAGATGTGAATCTGTGATTTCCTCATTCTGAGTTCATTCCTGTGTATTTCCCAAACTGTGATCATCTCTTGCACTCAGTGTAATTGTTGTGTTAAGAGAGAACCTGTGTGTTGCAAATATACGTTCATGGCAGCACCACTCACAATAGCCAAGATGTGGAAGCATCCCGAATGTCCATCTCTGGATGAATGGACGAACAAAATGTGAGAGATAAAATAGCTTTCCAACAGAATATTATTTGGCTTTGAAAAAAGAAGGAAATCCTGTCACGTGATGCAGCATGGATGAACCTTGAAGACATTACATTTCAGTGGAGTAAACCAGGCACAGAGGGACATGCACTGTGACTGCACTTGAAAGTCATCACTTTCATAGAGGCTGAAGGTGGAATGGTGGATGCCAGGGACTTGGGAGGGAGGGAAATGAGGAGTCAGGGATCCAGTTTTGAAGACTGGCTGCACAGCAACGTAATACACTGAGAGTAGACTGAACTCTCCTGAACTGTGTCCTTTCCAGTGGTTGAGATGGCCAGTTTTATGTTAGGTGTTTCCTACCACAATTTTAAAAAAAGGGCACGAGAACCAATATGTCTTGTGAAGAACACAGATCCAGCACACAGAACAACCACCTCGGCTGGGGCCCTCCCAGTGATCCTGTAGACGTGGAAACTGAGGGCTCAAGATGAACGTGATTCTCCTAGGGTGCTCCTCTGACGGGAGCTGGCTGTGGACGCGTGGCCTGCTGTCCCCTAATAATCTCACTCTGTACACCATGCCACATCTTTAGTTCTTGACACCAACAGCAGTTACGTTATCTGACTTCCTCCTTTGGGCTAGATATCTTGAGCATACGGTTTCACTTTTAAAATGACTTGACTCAGCATTTAAATGGGACAAAACTTAGAAAAAAGTGTCATCAATTTCCAATTTCTGCAAAACATCTGAAATGTATGTTTATATATATATATATACATAAATGTTTATATATATATATATATAATTATCTCTCCATACAATTATGGATTCTGTCTCAATTGTTAATTTCTCCAAGAGAGAGAGGGAAGGAAGAAGGGATGGAAAGAAATGTAATTGGGAAAGCTTAGAGTTCCATAGACCTGGGTTCGATTTCTGCTTTATAGCTATGTAATCTTGAATGTGTTACCTACCCCATTCAATGCATGTGTATAAAGACGGGGATGTTAGGAGACCATACCAAGTATATAGGCAGTTGGCCCTATTGACAAAAGTCAGTCCCCTCCATTCCTGGATCCTGCTCTGTTTTTTAAAAGTTAGGGTAAGCTAGCTATGAGACTATTTGAAAAACAGTCTCCCTCAGTTGTGTTTACTATTTAGAAAACCTTTTACAGGAACATATTTGGGAGGTGCATTCTTTCCCAGAGAGCTGCTGATTGGGCAGAAATCCCGGACAAAAGTCTCATGTGTGGACACCTGTGTGTCCTTAGGTACAATTGTGAAGATGAGCGTTGTTACTTGGACCTAGCCAGGCTGAGAGGCGTCCACTACCTCACTTGGCGAAGGCAGAACAAAGTCTTTCCTCAAGATAAGGTAAAGTTCAGTGACGAAACTCACCTCATTTTGCTTTTTAATTGGCTTAAAGTATCTAATTAAAATGAAGACCTATTATTGAACTTCAAAGCAAAGATAAACTGTTCTCTGGAATAGTGAGTTGTATTTTATATTTGTAAATTGGAAGAAAAGGGAAATTACTCACTTTGGATCTTTATCTTGAGTGGGCAACTTTGTGAAATTTGGGCCTAGCTATTACATTATATATATGAGGGATAGCAAACTATAGACCAGTGGGCCAAGTGTGGCCCACCATTTGTTTTTATAAATAAAGTTTTATTGGGACACAGTCTCACTCCTCTGTTTATGTGTTGTCTGTGGTTGCTTGTGCACTTGAATGGCAGAGTTGAGTAATTGTGACAGAAACTCTGGCCCACAGAGCTGAGAATGCATGTCATCTAGCCCTGTACTGAAAAAACTTGCCTATCTGTGATGTAGAGCTAATTTATACTAATGGTTGCCTTGGCCAAAGTAAGGTGATTTTCTTCCTGTTCAGGAAACCTCGTCCTCAGTGAGTTACAGATTTGTGTTTTGGTTTGTTTTTGCAGGGTCACCACCCAACTCTAGGGGAACATCCAAAGTTTACCAACTACTCTTTTGATGTAGAAGAATTTATGTCCCTTGTCCTCCAGGCTGCAGAGCACGTGTTGCAACACCCAAAGTGGCCATTTAAGAAGAAACGTGATGAGCTATAAATGTGTTAAGTCTATTGGCAAAAGGGAGTATTTCACTGCTGTACCACCCAGACTCACAGCTAAATCAGTAAAACAACCTGCTATTTCACTAGCCCAGAACTGCCTTTTCTATACCAAAACATGCTTTCAGGATATTACTTAAGTGTTTTATAGTCTTTAACTGTTTCATGTGATTTTTGTGTCATTGCTATTTGTTAAGATACTATTTTTGCACTGAAAACTTTACTATTTATAGTTCAAATGTTTGGCACAGGCTCACTGTTGTAATTGAGCTCTCTTTATTAGGGATACCAAAGTTTAACACTTGCCTAGCTTTAGAATTTGAAAATGTTTTTGTAGAATACCATGAGATTGTAATTCTAGAGGCTTCCGATTTATTTGATATATTTGAGTAAATGCACAGTCGCTCTTTTATTTGCCATAATCTGTTCCTAATTCTGTTTGTGATTGGAAAGGCACACACACACACACACACACACACACACACACACACAGTTGTGCTTCTTAGTTCCGAGCTATAGGACCATGTGATAGCTTGAAGAGTGTTATAAACAGATCTGTTTTACTGTGTCAGAATCTAAGCTAACACCCTTTGAATTCTCTGCTGTGTCTTTTTTAGTCAACTCCAGGTTATATGCATCAAGAACCTGAATAAATCATGCTGCTGCATTAATTTATATTCACATACTTCATATGCAAATCATGTCTTCCCAAAATGTAACAATTGCATGTGATAAAAACAGATTAGGACTGTTTTATATACCTTCTGGCTGGCTTACACTGATTCCTTCTTAGCCATGAGGAGTGTTTTTGTTGAATTTGTATATCAAATAGTGGTTTCCCATGTGCAAGTGTTTATAACTGCATATACCTATGTGTATGCATCTACCTCTTTTGGCCTGGAAGTATTCCAGCTTTGGAGTTTGTACACTTCAGATTAGCCACGTGAAGAGAATTTTTCCCTATGAAAAAGTAAAGACCTAAAAGAAAAGAGTGAAGACACACGAATTGTCTAATTCAAATGGAAGAGAAGCTGTAAGGAAGTGCCATTGATTAAAATGAATACCTGAAATGCAGTCCCTCTGGGTGAATGGGACTTACTTCTTATAATTTATGAACTTCCAATTTAGTGGTCAGAAACCATGGATTTATTTACTGCAAAATGTGAACTTCACATTTTATTAACACTGGAGAAGTCTAATTTAGAGATGAATGACTTCTATTTTTTAAAGTGAAGAATTAGCAGATAACAGCAGAGCTAAGAATTTTTTTTAACATTTAGAGTTACATAGTCTTCTTTTTTTTCTTTTTTAACAGTGATCCAAGAAGCCTAAGATATTTATTAGTTGAACCTTTACAGACAAGTTTGTTAACCACTGTTTTAAAGGATTTTGAACAGTTTTCTAGAGTTATTTATTAAAATGTAAAGAAAATAGTGACTTTCTAGTTATAGCTTTGATTTGGATCTTAAAATTGTGTAAAAAAAAATTACAAGATATGAATTTTTAAATGTATGGTTATGGCAGAATACTGAGTAACCAACTGGGAAAATAACTTCACAGGAAAGGACTTGTAAAGGCAATGTTGCACTTTTAGTGACAGCTGTAAACATCTGAAGAATTTACCTGAAGAAAAAAATTTGCAGCATTTATCTTACCTCATTTTAAGAAGCAGTGTGGCAACATGATTCTGTAGACCAGTGACAGTTTAAGAAATTGAGGACAATCTCATAACAAAACTATTATATTTGAGTATCTTGCATTTAAAAAGAATATGTTTTATGTAAATAAGGGAGTACATTTGACACTTTATGGAATTAACTTTTATCAGACATTTTTATGTCAGAAACAGGAGGTCTTCAAATTGCTATAAAATTTAAATATATAGACTGCTTTGTTATTAAGTCTTTCAGAGAGATATATTTCATTGTTTATACATTTTGGGTATGGCTTTGGAATAAATCTTTTTATATTTTACTTGCACACCAGAACCGTTTTTAAGGTTTTCTGTGTCTGAATGTTACATGCTTGCTTTTTGGCAATCTGATAGCTGTAGATTAACATTAGGTAGCTCACTGATGATGAATTCAGCTGAAGCAAAAATTTTACATTTATTTAGCAGTTTATTATATGATGCTTTCACAAATGCTATATTGCATAATCCTTACAAAAATGACCTAAGAGTTATTGTTCCTTTTTTTCATGTGAGGAAAATCAGATGCTGCTTAAGAGACTTTCCTGAAGGTCACAGGTCTTCTGATTCCACATCTGTGGTCTTCCATTCATTCACTCACATGCTTGTTCGATAAGTATTGAGTGAGCAATTACTGTGTACCAGTTACTATTCCAGGTTTCGGGAAGACAGCAGTGAAAAGAACAGAAAAAAGCCCTTGTCCTCATGGTGCTTGCATTCTGATGGAAGTGACAGATACTGAACAACTTAAGTAAGTAAAATATGCTTTGTGCCAGATGCTGATACGTGCAATGGAAAAAGCAAGCAGGGGCAAGGGGTGTGGCACTCTGGGGTGAGGTGGAGTCCAGCACATGTAAGTAGAGGGTCAAGGAAGTCCTCTTTGAGGTATCATTTTAGTCAAGACTTGAAGTAAGTGAGATAGGAAGCAAAGCTGATAACTGGGCAGAGCATTCCAAGAAGACAGAATGGTATTTGCAAAGGTCCTGAGGCAGGAGTGGGGGAATAGCAAGGAGGCCAGGGTGCCCGAGTGATGGAGGGGCAGAGCAGGAGAGGGGGTCAAAGAGGTAATGGGATTAGGGTGCAGATGGCAAGGCTCTTGTCCTTTCCTTTGTAATGAAATGGTACTTGCTGAGAGATCTCACCAGAGGGTAATGATCTGACTTACTTCGAACAGGATAGCTCTAGTTGTTATGTTGGGAATAGACTGTAGAGGGATATCTTAGGTCATGTTCTCTGGAAAACAGATTCTGGGATAGAGATATGTATGCAGGTGGTTTATGGGGATGGTGCCCTTGATCAACACCTGTGAGAAGGTAAAAAAAACAAGGTTTGGGCAGATGGAGAAACTGAACCACAATGCAGTAGTAGGTGAGGCCTCAGCTTGGGGTCTGTAAAGCTGCAGGTTCCTTCAGAGGTCCCTGGATGAAGCAAGAGATCCTCATATCAATGGATCACTGAATAAGGGCCATCCCCACAGAGGGGTGTAACCCTGGGGAGGGCAGCTCCCACAGCTTGCAGACAATTTCTGGAGAGGAACTCGGTTGTGCTGCATCAGCAGCCCGCATTCTGAGCGATCGGGGACCCTGGGGGCTCTATGCAGCCTACACTGCTGAGCAAAGGTGGTGCCATTTAGCTTGTTCTGCTCTCCCTGCCATTGGTTTTGGCTCAGCTACTAATCCCTGGCCCAATATCCAGGTGAGTCACAACTCACCAACTGAAATTAGAGCTAAAGGCATCACTAATGGTTTTATTTAATGATTCAGATTTTAATGGTTTTTAAGGCTGCTTATAAATAATACTGTGTACTTGACATTGTAGAAGGCTAGCATAGGCTTTTATGGGCTATTGAGGTTCTCTGGCCAATATATTATTTGTTTTTTTAAAATGTAAAAAACATTTTTCTAGTTGTTAAAACAGAGAGCAGAGAGGTTAAGAAACTTGCCCAAGAGCACACAGCTGTTAAGTAACAGATTGGATATATGGCTTTCTTTGTAAAGGAGTTTAAAATTAAACAGGGAAGTTTACAGGTAAGGAAGGAAGGAAAGAAGGGAGAAAGAGAGACAAGGGAGGGAGGAGAGAGAATTTAGTTGTAGGAAATAAGGAATAGAGAGGATAGTCCTGGAGTTAGGCCTTTTCTTGCAGTTACAAAATACTTCCCTTTCAAACATAATGAGTGGAGAGAGAATCAGAAAACCATTTGCTTTTTTAAAACACGAAGCATATAAGCAGATCCCCTCAGGTACAATTGCCTTGGAGAAACCAAGTTTTCCTTTTATTGAAGTATGGTTCATATACATTATTATATTGGTTTCATGTATACAACACAGTGATTCAACAGGTACATACGCTATGAAGTCCTCACCCCAATCAATGTGGTTAACTGTCAACATAGATGTTACTGAATTACTGACTATATTCTCAATGTTCTACTTTCATCCTGTAGAAACCAGTTTAAAATAACCTATTCCCAACCGACGGCTATTGCGAGACCTGCAGTGCCTTTCATTTCTTTTAGCTGACTGGGGCATGTAAAAATATGCCATCAACATTCTTGTCATAAAAGATGTCGCTTAGTGCAGTGCAAAGGTGGTGTGGGCCCTCGCCTCAGGCGGTAATGAAAATTTTGACCACGAGGTGGCAGCCAAGCCCTTCCAAATGGCCTGTGTGCTCTGAAGCCCCCTGCAATCTCATCGCAGATTCCAGGCCCCTGAGCGCTGAGAGGAAGGCTTGCTTCTGGGGGTGGTGGATTTTTTTTTTTCACTCCTGATTTGGGAGAAGGTGGGAAAATTATCACGGACAGTTTTCAGATTTAAGTGTGGAATTTCTTAACTGCAGCCTATACCTGAATCCTGTGTAATATCTCCTGATCACTGGGTACAAAGAGCATTTGGCCCCAGGAAGATGATTCCTAGTGACAGAAGCTGGTTAGCAGCATGCATACGTGTTGATGTGCAAAGGAATTTTGGGGGGACTCGAGGTCTATTTTAGAATCTATAGATGGCATAATTAGCTCCTCAGTTCTCTGTAGGAGCTAATTTCTTGTATCAGCTTTATAGGTCATTGCATGCAATTGCTGTTATTGTTTAGTTTGAGCAGAACCAAACTGTAAGCAGAGGAGTCCACTGAATTCTAGACGCTCAAGAATCACTCAGTGTTAATGAAAGAATGCTTTTCAGCATACACCAAGGAGTGTTAATATCAGGTCTCTTCCAGGGTATAAACTCATACAGTTTTCAAAGCGTCTGGTATCTTTATGCTACACGACCTTGAGCTGTCGAATTTGGGGATGTTTTTGATGAAAGGGACCTTGGAGGACCTTCATGGCATTTGTTCATTCTGCAGTGGTTTGTGGACTTCCTACCAGTGACAGGCACTTCTAGACTAAGAGGAGCGTTCCCAGGAGAGGCGTGTTTTGTAGACCAAAGAATTTGAATATAGGATCACAAGGCCTGATTTCTCAGCCTTACAGTGCTGTGATCACACAGCGTGTGATCATGGGCTTGTCGCCTAGCCTCTTAGAGCTTCAGTTTCCTTACTTGTAAATTGATGGTGATATCCTTTAGGCGGGGTAGATTTAAGGATACAATTAAAAAGTAAAGTCACCCTTGATTAATGCTCAGCACAAAGGGAGATGTTCAGTAAATGCTATTATTATACCATAACATATGGAACTATTACTAGTTAAAGCTCTAGTACCTGGAGAGCATTTAAATTCTGATCTCTAGGCTTCTCCCAGCCCAAGTGAATCAGTATTTTTAGGGGGAGAGTCAGCTGCCTCTATTGAGTCAAATGACCCTAATGCACAGTGGTGGGGCATTGATGGTTTAGGAAGCAGTGAAAAGGGGTGGCACTACACACATCATGGGGTCTAAGCCAGCACTTGTCAAAGAATCTTCCACTGGGCATCAACAGATGCCACTGTTTACTTGAGAAATGTCGCCACATGCTAGGTGACATGGAGTTGTTTATTGCAGTGTGCTCCCTACCTCTGATACACCAATGTGCATTATGAATCTCTCCACTGGAAGATACAATTTGCATTGTTTCCAAATTTACTTGCCCGCCGGATCTTTTTCTCAAGGACCGTGAGTATCACCATTGCACGAATACCTCTCCAGGGAGCTGCCAAAGGCATTTGCTGTGGCCACAGCCGCCTTCCAACAACAGCGGTACCAGGCAGTGTCAGGCAGGGGGTTGCTTTGCTGACTTGCACCCTGTTTGTGAGTTATATCAACTGTGGTACCTGGTCCCAGTGGACTGGGCCCGGGATCAACAGCTGAGCCAAAACCCACACAATCAGGCTACAAGATAAGGGATAAATAGATGAGCCACCCAGATCCTTTCTGCGGGGGTATCAGACACGATGCAAAGAGAATGGCAAAGTCCTTGGTACCAGGCACCAGATCTGAGCTAGTGGTAATTCTCTTGTGTCAAGTCTGAGCCACTTTCAGCATCCAGGAGGCCACTGGTATATTCAGGCCATGAATGGGATTATCTCTTCCTCATGGTCTATAAGAACCTAACAAATACAGCCACGCCAGTACTCCAGGTATGATTAGCCCCATGCTACACCATGCAGAAGGAAGAATTTAACCCAAGTTTTCCTACTCCCAAGTTCAGTGCCACCCAACTATGCTGACGCATTGTTGCCTCTCACACTGAGATCGTTCCATCAGCAGGACAAACATAGGTCAAAACTGTCATTTCCAGAAAAATCTGCAAAGTAAATTGCAAGGACACAGTTTGGCTAAAGTGCCTACTATTTTGGGTGGAAATCTAAGCTGGGTGGAGTGTTC